GTTGTACGTTACAGCTCCAAGGAGGAGACTGCCAAAGCCCAAAAATCCCTGCACATGTAAGACTACAAGCTCTTCTACATCATACGTCTCTGAGGCGCTGTCCCAAATGGCAACCTAAACCCCATGGAGTCCACACTTTTGTAACGTAATGCCGCTTTGACTGTTGGTTAAAAGTCTGCTACGGAGTCCTACGGTCTCATGGACTTTACAGTCATGTGCACACGGCTGGCATTGTATGTCCACAAGACTGAAGTGTGCCATTTGAGACAGGGCCTGAGAAAATGTTCAAGAACAGATTTATAGTTATATTTACGCTTTATAGTGTTAGCCGTATGCCTATATTTTTTGAAAACCTTCTAGATAAATGTGCATTGTCTTTCTCTCTTCAAGCTGATTTTATGTATTATCCATCAAGAAAGCTTTTTCATGCTTGAATCCCTTCCAATTGTTTGTCTACCTCTCAAGGTGTGTGCTGGGTAACACTACCATCCTGGCAGAGTTTGCCGGTGAGGACGATGTGAACCGCTTCTTTGCACAGGGCCAGTCCCTCACCCCCACCACCAGCTGGCAGGCCAGCCAAGCACCAGGCTCCAATCAACCCCGGCTGGGAAACCCTGCTGCCAGCCACCCCACAGGCCTCTGGAGCGGGGGTGGAGGAGGTAACAAGACAGTCTGTAGTACCAGGAACAGCAGCCGCGGAAACGGAGGTGACCTGCTGTGGGGCAGTGTGCCGCAGTACTCCAGTTTGTGGGCTCCCCCAAATGGAGACGACCCCAGGGTAATCGGCAGCCCCATCCCAATTAACACTCTGATCCCGGGAGACCTGCTGAGCGGAGAGAGCATGTAGGATGTATTGGACATCATAAACCAACAAAGTCAAAAGACCTAATGGATCAAAACCCAAGCAAATCAGTGTGGCGATAATCACTTTTTGTGGAGCTGTAACGGAGGTTTAGGGTGAAACAAAGCTGCAAACCTTCCACTGCTGTTTATTTGTCCTCTGGTTTTTACGTCAGACTGTTTATTGTGTTCGTGGATCTTGTTCTTAGTGTTCAAAGACCTTGAGAAGCAAGAATCAATAGAAGCAGAAGCCTTTTGATGCTTTTTTATTTCCAAAGGATGTTTTTGCTCAAAAGTGTTGTTCAGGAGAAGCCATCAACGAGGCAGCCATCTGAAAGCGACCCAGGCACAGTGAGATCTCATGACACATTTCCCTATAACGACACTGTTCTGATGATTGGAATGATCCTGGTACTTTTTTTTGGTTTTAAACTTTGCATAGTTTCTTCAGAACTTCTATTAGCCGTAAGTGCTCTCTCTCCAGGTCCTCCTTAAAAACTTTTATTTTATAAAACCAACAAAAAAAAAAAAAAGAAAACTTTGTATCTTGCACAGTTCTGTTTCTGAGCCAGCGAATAGGCCAGAGCAAATGAGAAGAACACTCCTAGCAGTGGCCTGAAAGCATGATGAATCACCAATGATCTTTTTTCTTCAATTATTTTAGTTTTACAAAAGGGAGCTGCACTGCTCTATGATTTCTATTTACTCACGCCAGTTGTTTTTTTTGTTTTTTTAATGTGTATGGTTAAAAAAAAAAAAGCTGAATGTTAAGCTTTGATGTAGATGAATGAATGTCAGTGTCTGCTGGAACTTGACCAAGCATCTGTGCGCGAATACATAACCACTGTTAAAAACACTCAGTGGAGGCTTTTTAATTATACCTAATGGACTTCAGTGCTGAATCAATCAGAAGATATTTAGTTACTATGTTATGTATCTGATCGGCCATTTTATTGAGATACAACTGAGAGATGAAACTCATTCTGATGCATTGTGCAATAGAAGCCAGAGACCCTTTCTTCCGTCCACACTGAAACTTACTGAAACTTAAGACTCCTTTTTTTTTTTCTCGAAGTTTTTGGAAGAATTTAACCTTTGAACATTTTCCTACCTTGCCTCTGTTTGTCTGGCTTGCTGGCTGTTCGGTATTTGCGTGGAAAGGGGGAACTGTTAATTGTGTTTGACGTCACTCCATGCAGTTTTGAACTCGGCATGTGTGGGATCACACAGTCCCCCAGCCACTTCTTCACCAAACAGAAACGGAATCCAGAGCGGAGACACATGGCACGGGAGTCAGGCACAATACCAAATACAATGGGTTTCTTTTAATGCAGTACAGAGTAAGAGACCTTTGCATTTGGTACAAACATAAAAGACGCATTGTCTCTTCTTAAAGGGGTATTATCATAGCACTTATTACAAGAGTTATGCTTCAGCATGATGAATCACCAATGATCTTTTTTCTTCAATTATTTTAGTTTTACAAAAGGGAGCTGCACTGCTCTATGATTTCTATTTACTCACGCCAGTTGTTTTTTTTGTTTTTTTAATGTGTATGGTTAAAAAAAAAAAAGCTGAATGTTAAGCTTTGATGTAGATGAATGAATGTCAGTGTCTGCTGGAACTTGACCAAGCATCTGTGCGCGAATACATAACCACTGTTAAAAACACTCAGTGGAGGCTTTTTAATTATACCTAATGGACTTCAGTGCTGAATCAATCAGAAGATATTTAGTTACTATGTTATGTATCTGATCGGCCATTTTATTGAGATACAACTGAGAGATGAAACTCATTCTGATGCATTGTGCAATAGAAGCCAGAGACCCTTTCTTCCGTCCACACTGAAACTTACTGAAACTTAAGACTCCTTTTTTTTTTTCTCGAAGTTTTTGGAAGAATTTAACCTTTGAACATTTTCCTACCTTGCCTCTGTTTGTCTGGCTTGCTGGCTGTTCGGTATTTGCGTGGAAAGGGGGAACTGTTAATTGTGTTTGACGTCACTCCATGCAGTTTTGAACTCGGCATGTGTGGGATCACACAGTCTCCCAGCCACTTCTTCACCAAACAGAAACGGAATCCAGAGCGGAGACACATGGCACGGGAGTCAGGCACAATACCAAATACAATGGGTTTCTTTTAATGCAGTACAGAGTAAGAGACCTTTGCATTTGGTACAAACATAAAAGACGCATTGTCTCTTCTTAAAGGGGTATTATCATAGCACTTATTACAAGAGTTATGCTCCTTCTGTGAAGCCAATAAATCAGATAATGGAGCATATAGTTAAAAAAAAAAGAAAGAAAAAAAAAACTTCTTATGGCAACTTTAAACTTTTTTTTTTTTTTGTACCTTTACTGGTATTCAAAAAAACGTATTTGTTTGTCGTCCATCTCTGTTCCAGAAACTTCAGAATGAAGGGAAGAACGAACTCTACAATCATACAAAACTTGCAATGTATGTTTTTTTGTGTCTGTACTTTTCCCCCCCTCTCAAAGTGAATGTCATTGTTACTCAAATGAAATAGTCAAATGTCTTTATCTGTCTGAAATAGGCACCTCCATTTGATTGGATTTGAAAAGGAGGATGTGTGGTGTTAGTGCCTCAATGTGGGAACTGATAGGAGGACGTTTGATTCTCCATCGCAACTCTCACCTAGTACAATGGAATGCAAGAAAGGACATTAATGACGTCATGATATGGACGTTGTCGTCATCGTTTATCATTTGCATCCGTGTTGTAGTCATTTGGAATGTCTCCCCGTTCCTTCTCTGGATAACATCACACCTCTCATGCGTCCTTACCTACTCCCTCCCTCGCGTGGTCTTGCATGATTTTTTTCGCTGGAGTTTGAGACTGAATGGAATTGCCAGTGTTGTGAAACATGCTTTTTCACATTCTTTTGGTCTTCATGCAGTGGTCTTTAACTGCCTACAGTGCTCATATGCAGTTAAAAGAGGTGCCTCTGTATAGCTGTCCTGTGTAACGAATGCAAACGAAGATCAATGATGTGGGCCATACTTGTTTTTGTTGTTAACAGTGTTCTTAGGTCATTTAGGGCCTCTTTTGTTGATGTGCGTGTGTGTGACCTCACCCTGGGTGTCCCACCTCTAACTCAGCTGCTAGCATCCTCTTTCTCTTATGTGGCCTCAGTGAAGCCAACCCTGTTACCGAGACCAGCCGCCGTACTTGAAAAAGCCCTGTCCAAGCAGTGTTTCTATGGACAGACTCTTTCTGCCACTGGTTCTTTAACTACAGCACATGGCATGCTGTCACTATGCAAAGTTAGAGAAGATGGGCAAGTAATGTCCACCCTGTGCCAATCTGTGGCTTTGAAAGAAAGTTGGAAATATATCACAGTCCTCCCATAATACTTTCTTACATACTCAAGGCCATTGTCATCCTTGTAAACTTGTAAACAAAGAATGTTGTCTGACACTAAGCCAGTTTCATTTTTGGAGGTCTGTGTGTTAATTCTGCTGAATTTGATAAATCTCATTTTAATATAATCTCAGGGCACGACAAGATTAACTAAATTTATGTTTATTGAAAGTTGATCGTTTTGCAAATTTATAATTTACACATTAAAGTTGTACACATTAAATGATGTGTATGAAGCTTACAAAGTGTACATTAAAGAAACGCAAGAGGATATTTATCAGTGGGGCAGTAAATTTAGGAGGGTGGCTAGTTTGAGTCTTCTCAATCCTTTTGAACAGGGACTACTGCAGAGCCATCCGTTCGTTTATACAGTAAATGTATATTGTGTATCTTACCTCTCTGCTGCTGGTTGTTGAATTCCCCTTATGGTCTCATGTGCCAATATATACATAGATATATGTACAGTACACTGTGGCATCTCTGACTTCACATCTTAAATTCCAATGTGTGTTGTTTTGTTGTAGAGCACTTCTGTTCAGAGGCACTTTGATGATTCTTGTGTGTTTGAGGTGGGATTGGGTTCAAAAGGGTTGAGGATATTTGTCAGATATTTGTCACCTCATACTGATTATTTGTGATAATCTTGTTACTGTCATTGGAAGAATCCTTTATAACAAACTTTTAACAGCATTGGGGATTATGGTGTGCTAATGGCTTACAGATCATGAGTAATCCCTGGTACTTTTTTTGAATACCAAAAATGTAATAGCATTGTTTTGTTTTTTTTATAAAAGTTTGACAAAAACACGTAAACAATGAAGGAAAAAGATCTATAACATTTAAAAATGCACTTCTTGCTGATATTATCTCCTGTTTGCTGGTCACATTCTGAAGGTTGACAGCAAGCTGGAGTGCCTTCTGTGTATGCCATATTAACTGTTTGTTTGTAAAAATGGGGCCCTGAACTGTACATTTCCATCTCAGTCTCAGTTCATTTTGGGCCTTTATGCTGTATAAACCTTCTTTTTTTTTTCTTTTGGGAAAAGACATTTCAACAGATGTGTCTTAAGATACTAAAGTTGTTCATTGACTTATTTGTTTTCTGTTTCTGGGTGTGGGGGATCACTGTTGCCTGTGTATGTAACTGCCTTGTTCCAAACTCAGTCGCGGCTGGCTGACAGTGAACCACAATGTGGCTGTAATTCCAAACAGTCAAACATCACAGGAAGTCTCTGGTGACACCAGCATAGGTAGACTACAGCTAAACATTATCCTGTATATTATCACGCTCATTATGTAGAAAAAATGCTATCAGATCTCTGATTCCTTCCCTTTTGAAACTACTAGGTAAAATATAATTTGAAATAAGCAATAGGCCTTGCAGTGTGTCATCCGAGAGAATTTGCCTAAAGGAAAAAAAAAACGAAAGAGTGATTAATGATAGATATGAACCAAATAGTCTTACTGGAGTAGCATGTTTAAAATTAAATTACACAGGACATACATGCAGTATTTGTGTATACCTATGTTGAAACCCGTAATTATGAACCATGTTTTTGTCTCTGGGCAAAGAATGAAAAATCATAAACATATCAAAAGATATATATTCACCGATACTTGAATTAAAGTGTGCCAATTGTAAAATGTGAATTTATTTTTTCTTAAATTTTTGTTTGGGTCTGACACTTTCAAGTTATTTGATAACATGCTCACAAGGTTTAACATTCTTCATGAGAAAGAAAAAAATATCTTTGAATGGTTAACGTTTGAATGGTTGTGTGTGTGTGCTCTCTAATCACTGCTTCTCGCCACGGGGCGACTGTCTGCAATTATGATCCATTTAGTTTGTTGTACTATCTCTGTTACTTGTATGTGCGCCTGTTATAAAAATTGTTCCACCATGGTTACTATTTAGCGATACACTGAGTGTCTTTTTTCCCTTGCTCAGCTATACTAAAAAAAACCCCAGAAAACTGCAAGGGAGATTATGACAATTTATGTGTTAATGTTTACTCAAGGACTTGATGGATTTATTTTCATCTTAAAATGTTTAAAACCTGTAAGATTGTATCCTCATAGTGGCTTTTATTGTGGATTAATTCCCACAAGAGTTATCATTTTGAAGAGTGTTGCATCAATTCAATTGCATTATTAAAAAAAAATAAAAATAAAAATAGAAGATAAAAAATGAACTTTAGCCATAGTGAGAAAGTTGGTAGAGAAGCAGTTACATTCATGGATGAACAGTAAAGATAACCAGATAGTTAGTGACATTCTGTCTCATTTCAAAAGGTGCCTCTCTTCCATTCTGTGAAATCCCTTTTCTTTTTAAATCTACCTGCCGTTTACAAATGATTGATTTTGAAGAGTGTTGCATCAATTCAATTGCATTATTAAAAAAAAAAAATAAATTAAAATAGAAGATAAAAAATGAACTTTAGCCATAGTGAGAAAGTTGGTAGAGAAGCAGTTACATTCATGGATGAACAGTAAAGATAACCAGATAGTTAGTGACATTCTGTCTCATTTCAAAAGGTGCCTCTCTTCCATTCTGTGAAATCCCTTTTCTTTTTAAATCTACCTGCCGTTTACAAATGATTGAATTGTCTGAATTTGCAAAAAAAAAGAAAAGTAAAGAAAAGAAATTGATTACAAGAATGCAAGAAAAAACTTTTACAATTACATCTATCAAAAAAAAAACTTTTCAAATGAAGAACTCTGGGATTGTTTCAGTGTTGCATTGTATTTTGCTTATGAATTACTTTATTGTTCTTCTTGTTGGTTGAACTTATGCCTAAATGTCTTTCAATTTTAGTTTCTGTAAAAGCAACATGATTCTGTCACTGTCTTGCACACTGACAATGGACTTGGATATTTTCTCAGGAAGATTAGGGGTCCAGAGTTCCAGTTCCACTGTTATGATGTTGATTATCATGAGAATTTAACAAATCGATTAATGAAAGGAAAAAAAAATAAAAAAAGATGTTGATGGAAATCCATCTCTAAGCACTGAAGGTTATGGATTTAAAAATGTCTTTTTGAATTTTAATCTGTAGCAGACACACATTTGCCAAATATTAGATTTGTAGTGTGCTATATTTCTAGAAGTGGAGTACTTTCCATTTGAAATATGTTTGTTTGTTTATATATGTTGCTTTATGTACAAATACAGTTTTGTTTAGGTTGTGGAAGGACCTACCACTGTTTGATTTTACCTTGCCTGATGTTTCTCAACAAGGTCCAGTAAAAGATGCTTGATATTCCATCCTCTTGTCTTTACTTGTTTTAAAAATTCGGTTGAGGCCTGTATGCAAAGGCCTGAGAACTGTAGATCAACACAGAACTTGAACTCTTACTAGATTTTCTTACAAGGTTTTGAGTGCGGGATGAAAATACTCCAAGTTAATTCTCCATCTAGGTTTAACAGTAGATGCAGAAATAAGATGTTGTGAAAGGATTAAGAATCTATGCACAAGTTTGAGGGGACAGTATGTCCGGATACGCTATTCTTACAAGAATAATTTTGGTGTAGGTAAAGGGAATGGGGGGGGGTTTCAAGTTTTTTTGTACAAGTTTTGATTGGAATCAGCAGATATTAAAGTATTGTCACATTGCTCTGTCTCTCAACCAAGGAGCATCATCAACCAAGCACTGTGGGTTTATGCAAATCTCTGACATTCTGGTGTTTAAATTGAATGATGGGTTGTGAAAAGGGAATTTAACTGTTTCTCTTTATTGTTCAGATACTAAGAACATGACTGTACTGAGATTTAACAATGTTGCTGGCTTTTAAATGTTTTTTTTTTTGATGAAAATTAAAATCCTGTCATCATTTACTCACCCTCAAGTAGTTCCAAATCTGTACTAGTTTCTTCTAGTGAACACAAAAGAAGATATTTTGAAAAATGTTGGGAACCAAACAGTTGCTGGTAGCCATTGACTTCTGTAGTTCCATTTTTTTTTCTTCTCGCTATACTATAGAGGTCAATGGCTACCACCAACTGTTTGGTTACTTACATTCTTCAAAATATCTTCTTCTGCATTCAACAGAAGAAAAAATGCATACAGGTTTGGAACAACATGAAGGTGAGTAAATTATACAATTTTCATTTTTGGGTGAAATATCCTTTTAATAGAATGTGATCGTTGAGGACTTGCACCGAAAAAAAGTCTTTATGTGGTATGGAGATTATTTCAGCCTATATTAATAAACAGCATTTTTCTTCTTGAACTGTGTTTGTTTTTTATTTATGTTGTGAGCTAGTATTTCATTTACACCAAATTTAGACAACATTTGGGTTTTTCTCAGAACTCTCTGTGCCCTCTGTAAGTAGTTTATATGCGGGCTGACATGGCAGTCATCTTGAACTTATACTGAAATGTGAGTTTGGCTATATATTATTTAAAGCAATATAATACATTTTGATATTTACATTAGATGACAGCATGACAAAAAAAAACAGTTGGCTCTCTGACTTGACTTTGTTAGCAGTCAGAGGTGATTAATTTATTGTGTAAGACTGCCTGCAGTTAAAATTTTTATTCCAAATGTACTAGTCATGTCTTTGTGTAAAAGATTTTAATGAGGAAAACATTACTGAAATTATGTAGCTGAATGGCACATGCAGAAAGTTAACATGCTTCCTTTGATCATTCTGGTTCAGTTTTGCATAGCCTTTTAGGCTTGGAACATTTACAAAATTAGTAACATCTAAACTCTATCTGAGCCTACTGCCAAGGAACAGGGTTATAAGCTAAATATGAAAAACTACTATAACCTTTCTACATTTTTTTCTTAAGAACCATTTAAAATATATGTGTAAATTGCTACTTTAACAAATTCCTAAATGGAAGAGATGTCTTCTGCCTCTTGTGTTGGTTGCTCTTATACAAATCATACACAAGAAGGCAGTATTGAGCTACATTCATTTCTATATCCTCGCCGCAGTCCTTAAGGACAGCATCTTATTTACTCATCAGGCCTCTGAGACTTATTTGCCTAATCTTTATAGTATAAACATTTAGGCCTTTAGTGGTATTCTTTGTACTTTCATTTCAGTTATGACCATAAATCATATTTACATAAACGAGTGTGAATAATGATACAGTATGGAGGTCTAATAATATAATGGTGCATCTTTTCACAGAATAAATGTGAAAATCTCACTCTTCTCTCAGCTGTCACTTTCTTGGAATATTGTTGGCAATGGTATAGAGCAGGGGTGGCAAACTCCGATCCTGGAGAGCCGCAGCCCTGCAGAGTTCAGCAGCAACCCTAATAAAAACTCACCTGCCTGTAGCTTCCTAGTAACCCTTCAGACCTTGATTAGCTTGTTCAGGTGTGTTTGATTAGGGTTGAAGCAAAACTCTGCGTTGGATGGGTAAGCGTTTTTTTTCCATATGCATTTGAAAAGTGTCTAATTATAGAAAATCGGATAATCGTTGATAGGTTTTTAGCTGACAGGCACAAGGCCACAGGTAATCACAGCCCTGCAGATATTGAGAACAACACTATCATAGTGATAGTGGTATTATATATATATATATATATATATATATATACTGTATATGTTACTTGAATACCCATCCTTAAATGGACTACAATCAAGGCATTTGTGGAGATCAGAAACAGTGCTGATACAGAGAATAACTCCCTTTGGAGTGGACTTTGAGCTTTGTAACTTTGCAGATCTTGTTCATGCTCAAACAGCAACATATGCACTAAAGGAAGTTGAAAGTGTAAAAAGCATAATAGGACCCTTTTAAATTTGACTGGCTGAGCAGACGACTAGGAGTAATGAGCAGCACTGGGACTTTTCAATGTTTGTATCACTCTGCTAGTCTTTCTTTGTGGCGTTCTAGTCACACTGTCAGTGTGAGTATTAGTGGTGGGGATTTTTTGCAGGTTATATTGTTATACCAATAGATGATAACAAGTGACATTTTGTGTATTATGACGGGGCATTCACATGGAGTGTTGACGTCAACGCTTGATGGAGGGCGTGTTTGAAACTTGGTGCTGACAGACAGACCATCATAGTGACAACAGTCAATTACATTACCTTTCCAGTGTTGCATATGATTGGCTAACTATACTATATATATATAGCTGATATGGAAGTCACTTTTAAACCAACCAGCTTTCTGTTGGTCAACCCGATACAAAATCTGCATGGGGAAATATTTCAAACAAAATTTCCAATCATGCAGATTCTTATTAAAATTACTCAATTTGACTGTGAAAATGCACCAAACAACAGTAAATGTGAGTTTAATTTGAACATTATCAGTAAATTATTTTTGTATAAAGGTGCGGTCCAGTGTTAATTTCATTGACGAATATAGATTTTGTCAACAAAATTTTTTCACCAATCAAATTATAACTATATAAAAAACCGTATTGAAATACAAAAACTATGATGAAAATCAATTGAAATTTTCGTCAACAAATAAAAACGAGATGAAATGTTAGGGAGGGACAATTTGGAAAGAGATCCAATCAGAACTAATTTGTAACATGGTATACAGGTTAGATGCACAAGTTTACTGATCTACCTGGCAGCGCATAAGTTAGCATACATTTGCTCCATGTCTCATAAAATAAAATAAAAAATGTCAATATCCGGGCGAAAGAGAAGCGCAGACATGTGTATAAATTTGAAAAAGGTTGATGATGCTTAATCCGGTAGGCTACGGTTTTCTGTGTGCACAGACCCGAAGCCTCTATTGAATTGAGTCCTCTTTTGTGTCTTATCACACTTGAACGGACAAATACACACAAAATTATGTCAAATTGTTTTTTTGTTGCTGTTTTTTTGGCTAGTTCATGCAAATCCAATTGGTTATGTATCACGTGAATGTAACAGTTGGGAGAATATGAGATGCTAGTATATTGGATATGTGCATTAGGTCTTAAAGTGACATCAGCCTAATAAACCTGCTGCTGTCTTTGTCATCATAGTTAATCAAACAACAAAAGAAAAAAAAAATCATACACTGCTAACTTAAGTAGGCCTAGTTTTAATAAGGAATAATTTATATTTTATATAATCACTAGTCTTTTGCTGACAAGAAGACAATGTTCTTGTTTCTTTATGAGAAGTGGTTTTATTTGATTTTCAGATAAATAAACAATTTCACAACATTTAAATGTCTCTTTTGCATGTTCAAACCTTAATAGGCTATCATTTATTTTAACAGATTTTATAGTCTAAGTTTATCTTTAGTCAAAATTTGCTGTTAAAATTAACGCTGGTGGTGTGTAACATTTTTGTTCGGCAAATTTTCGCGGGCGAAATCCAGTCATTTCAATCAAATTCCCCATGAGGGTGACCTGTGTGAGTTCTTTTATTATCGGAACCACAGGACTCCTGCTCAGTTTGTTTTAAATAACCCTATTGCTGTAAATAGATGTACTTTATTGATCCAGAAAACAAATCCAGTGGCAAAACCGCAACAACATAAAAGACAAACTATACAAACGAACAAGATGAAATATAATTCACGCGCATCCATATTCACCTCCCATCACTTGAGATCAGCACTTGTAAAAGCGCCCACATGACGAGGATCAGTGAAAGGAGGCGGATGCCTCTCATTTATCTCCCCATGCTGTCTGCGCTTCGCTCGGTCACAGTGAACTTTGGCAAAGCGCTCTGTGGATGCTGGCAGGAGTCGCTCCTCTCGGACGCTGCTGGCACGCGCTGTGGATGCGA